GAGGGAGGGAGAGCGCAAGGGCAAGTGGGGGAGAGACGTGGTGGGGGTGAGAGAAAGGGGCAGAAGGGGGTTCCCTAATTTTTCGCAGCCCGCGGGAACAACTTTACGGCCTTCACGTGCAACTCGACTCTCCGCGCGCGAGTGTGTGTACAGCACGACTTTGGCAACTTTGTTTCGCTCTCAAGCAAATTCTTTCGCCATTATCTCGTTAACCCGTATCGCGCTTCGGGCCCGGAGCCCAACTCGGCTTCTTCTCCGGCAGAGTGGCCCCTTTTTGTCGGCTCGTGCGAAAGGTTTGATCCGCACAAAAGGTACGAGTCGGCGCGCCAAACTTTCGTAAAACACCGCTTAATTGGAAGCAATAAGTAAACTCCGAAAAGAAAAACAACGTTATTCATGTGGTGCTTTTTGTGCAAGTTACGCCGATGCCCACTACTCATCATCATGACATGAAGAGGTCAGCAAATCGTTGTCGTTATAATTGTGCACCCCCCTCTAGTTATGTGATATTGCCTTACTTCTCTCCGAGGCAAACGGCAAATTCCCCGTCCCACGCTGCCAGGGTCGGGACAGAGGCTGCGGGCCAGAGTATGCCTCTCCGGGGAGCATGGCTGCCCAACCCACGCTGCCAGAGGCCGCTGGAGGCCGCCGGATACCGTTGGAGGCAGCCGAAGGCCACTGGAGGCCGCTGGAGGCCGCTGGAGGCTGAGCGGAGCTCGCCGGAGCGCCTGGCTGGAACAGGCCTAAACCACGAGGCCGCGACCTATGGGCGTAATGTGGCTCAGAATGTAATCCGCGATGTATCAGGCCGATACGTATGGCCATTTGGACCCATTTGGACCCGCAGCGTGCCGCGCCGCCCCGATATACGGCCCGATCTGGGTCAGTGGCTGGAGCGGCTGGGGCCTGGCCGGGGCGGACCTGGAGGCCAGAAGGCTCGCTTCAAATTGGCGCCAATGAGAGAGGGATCACCGTTACGGTGCTGACGTGCCGGGGGTTTTCAAAGGCGCCACACTACTATACTCACTATACTCGCTATCCCGCCTGCGCCTGCTGCAGAAATTGCCTCTAACAGAAGCTCGAGCAATGGGCATAAAAGAGCCACACACGAGGTAGGAAAGTGCGTAAGCATGGGCAACAACTCTATTGTTTTCACCGGATTCTAAATGAAAAGGTAACATATTCGTGTTGGTTATTTGTTTTCAAAATTA